GTGATGTCTGGAAGGGGAATTCAGCAAGAGGGACTCCAGTCTGGAGCTCTGACCCCAACTTCCTCAATCCAGGCCCTCAAAGAGGGCGGCCTGTGTCACCAGGCGCCGGGTTCCCTGGGGGTGCCCGGGGTTGGGGCGGCACATTCCCACCTGGAGTGTCCTAGTACCTGGCTCTGAGGGACCCACAGGGTCATACTCTCTCTCTGAACCTTTCCCTCCCCTGCACCCCCGCTCATGCCCCAGGCCCTCTGCTGCTTAAGCCATGGCCCTGGGTCTGTATCCTGACCTGGGCTGCTCATTGTTCTGCACTGAGTAGTTTAATTACAGCTTTATGTGCGCTTATCTGGTCTGTGAGCTCGTGACCATGATCGCAGGGACCCTAGCACAGGGCCCGGGGCTTACTGAGAGATCCGTAATGTTCATGGATGGTGGGTGTGGCTGTGTAGGATGCCGGTCTCCTCCCGCAGGAGCAGCCTCGCCCCACCTGACCGGGCCTGGGACCAACAACTCGGTTGCTCTCCTGGAAGGAAAGGGGTGCCTCCTTCCACCCGGGGGTCTGAGCTGCTTCTCTCCTCTGAGGCCCTGTGCTGCAAGGTGCACATACCTCCAGTCCACACCTCAGGAGTCCTTCCCGTGTCCTCTGGGAGTTCCCGCCCACGCTGGTTGAGCCCCAGGTCTCCCTGGGAGCAGTCCCACAGAGGGAAGCTGGTGGAGGAAGGGGCAGGGATGCTGGCTGAGGAAAGGCCCTCTTTCCTACAATGGCTGTACCCCAGGAAGCCCCAAGTGCGTGTTCCCTAAGCCGAGGCAGTGCTGGCTGTAGTTTCTCTGGGCTTCTGGGCTGGTGCATCTGCCCCTGCCTTCAGAACGGGCCCCTGTGCACGGCTGGCATCTGTGATTGGGGGCAGCGCCTGTTTCTGAGAAATGTGAAAAAAGCAACTTCTTTGACTTCACCATTCCTAGAAAATGGCCTAAATTTGCTGGAAGAGTGGGGACAGAGGGTCTCAGTTTCTCAGGTGAAGCTTGCAGGCCATTGTCTTCAGCACCCAGCGTGTGTTGAGGCCTGTGAGGGTCTTGAGGGGCTTCTTGAGGAACTCTGGGCATGGGGTTTTTAGCCGAGGCTGAAAGTGGAGTTCCCAGGCTGCTGTGCTGAGTCCCAGCTCCCTACAGCCTCCTGGGTTTGGCCACGTCCACCCGCCCTCCTCCTCTTTCCTGCAATTGTGCCTCTTTTCCCTGCTGCCTCCCCAGCCAAGCCCAGGGCAGGACTTAAAGGGCAGTGGAGGGGGTAAGGGGCTGGTGGCCTTGGTGCCTCTAGGCAGCCGTCTGTTCTCCGGGCTCTGGGCCTGGGTACCCAGGGAGGATGAGTGTCAGCGGATTGATTTTGTATCAGAAGGAACAGACTGCTCCAGATCCCTTTTCTGGAGTGTTAGGACTTGGGGCAAAAGAGATGGGCCCATCTCGTGAGCTTAGTGCCTGGAGCTTGCTTTTGTGCTAAAGCAAGAAGTGAAAACAGGATTTAAAGAAACCAAATGGAATCAGTCATGGAGTGTCAGACCTGTACGATGCCTTGGTGATGAGGTGGCCCCCTTCCCTTGGCAGACCAGGGGAAGAAACTGAAGCTCTGAGGAATTCAGGGATGTGCTGGTGGTTCCAGAACTAGGCCTGGAACTTTTTCCAGGGTTCAATGCTATGCTCGAAACAGTGGAAGGATCCCGCAGCATGGCACAGAGCCCCTTCAGAGCTCAGCAATCTTGAGCTTAGCAACTGAGTAGACCCTGGAAGCCAGAGGGCTGCTTGCCGTCTCCCCAGAGATCTCAGGACCCGTGCTGCTGAGGTGGTTCACTTGAAGGGTGTGTCCACAGTGGTCACAAGTTAGCACTGGGGCCCTGTGCCCTGGCTCCCGCATCTCCAGGTCTGGCCTCCCTTGGCCCCTCCCTTTCCTCAGTGGCCTTGGCCTTGGCTTATCAGTGTCTCTGCCAGGATGTCCTCATCCTAGAGGGTGAGCTGATAAGGCAGTCTCATAGGATGCAGGGTTGGAAGGTGCCTCAGGGACACTTCAGCTGAGCCCTCTGGGAAAACACCAACCCCTGCAGGAGGTGGCGGGCGGGGGGGCCCAGGCTGCACTCAGGCTCTAGGAAGTTTTATTCTGTTTGCCCTCCCCATGGGCTGCACCCTCCTCAGCACAGAGGCGGCAGCTTCCACACCTAGCACCGTGCCGGCCTTGCTGGACACTCAAGAGAGGTGAGTTCCCTCGTGCTGGCCGCCTCTGCCACTGTCTCACCAGCCTGGGTGCTGGGTGGTGGCCGCACTCCTGGTGTGCTGCCTGCCTGCTTGCAGGAAGTCCTGGTGCCAGTGCACCCTTTGCTTGACAAGCTGGTGAGCTCCCTGTGGGGGGTTTTCCTAACAGTCTCTCCCCACATCCTCTCCTGCTCCTCCCAGCTTCCAGATCATGGAGGATGTCCCCAGCTGCTGACTTGTACGCAGTGGCTCTGCAATTTCCAGAAGAAACCTGACCTGAAGAATCTATCCACCCAGGCATCTGCCCCTCCCACCCCGCTGAGAGTCCCTGTCCTCACTGAAGCCGGCCTCCTGAGGCCCTTTTCCTCACTGCCGTGGCCCTTGGGAGCTCTTCCTTTTCCCTTCCCAAGGAGGAACCCCTCAAGCCCCGTGTCGGTGACCCCGGGGCAGCTTGGTGTTTCCTGCCTCAGCAGCTCTGCCCACCTCCAGTCTGTCAGCAGATTCTCCCTTGCTGGTGTGGCCTGTCACTCCAGCCAAGGCAGGCACAGCTTCCACATATTTGCTTCTGTGTCACCTGCAATCTTGTCATGGAAAGAAAGGTTGTAAGGACGTTCTCATCTGCTGCATTCTCATGCTTAAAGGGCAGGAAGGACCGTGGGACCTCCCCTCAGGGTCAGGGCCTGATAGGGCACAGTCACCAAAGGGCTCCCCAAGGGAGCTTCGTGAAAAATGCCTGATTGTCACATGGTCACAGAACAACATAACCTATAATGGTATCATTCCATATACTACTCATTGCATGTACTAATTTCCTATTTGGTCTTATGGAAAATATTTGACAATGCCTCTAGGGGAACATTCGAGCATGCACTGGGGGTGGTGCTGGCGCACGCCTGCTGGAGTGATCTGTGCGAAGCTGCATGCTCACCCTTTCCCCCACCTACCCCACTTCCCTGAATGCTGAGACTCATTTAAAGTCACAACAATTTTTTTTAAGTCTCCTTTGCTGAGTAGCAGAGTTTCGCCTTCCAAGCATGGATGATCGATTCAGGAGTTCAATTGTTCGTTCATTAAATAAGCCAAATTTATTGAGCACCTACTCTGCACCAGGTGCAATGCTAGATAGGCTGTGGGATACAACAGTAAACGAGACTGGCACAGTCCAGCCCTCATGCAATTGTGAGTCCGTTGGTTTGAGTCCTAATTCTGCCATTTGCTCTATAACCCTGGGCAAGCCATTTTATCTTTCTGAACTTTAGTACTTTTATCTATAAAATGAAGATTGGAATTCTTGCCTCACTGAGTTTTCCTGGTACATAGTTGGCGCTCAATAAATGGCAGCTATTCTTTTTACTATTTTCCAGGACTTGAGCTTTCTTTTTTCTTCTCGCTGTGGAAATTGCCTGGTAAGCTACAAACTGTTGGTTCTTGAATGGGCTGGCTGCCCCAGGTGTCCGAATCCCTTGGAAGGAACCTGGAGGAGTTGGCTGATGGGCTCCAGGTACGTGCCAGGCTGTGGGCTGTGCTGAGCCCTAGAGTCTGAGCTGCAGCTATATTCTGTTCTAATTTCTGTCTCTATATTCTTTGTAATTGGGCCACTCTCTTAGACAGCTGGAGCAATTAATGACCTTGAGAAATGATCCCAGCCCTGAATGCAGAATCCTGCTCTTTTGAAGTCAGTCACTTTCTTTGTGGGTCTAAACGTGTTCGTGTTTTCCCCTCTTGGGCATGTGCCTCCTCCTTCAGCTTTGATGCTGCCTCTGTAACAACAGGGTTTAGAATTATTAATTCCTCTGCACAGCAAGGTGCATTTTATTACACAAAGAGGGGGAAATATAATTGCTATCTTGAGTAATCATTTTCCGAAGGCTGAAAAGTGTAACCTTTAATTAATATTTCATCTGCAGCCAGGGTGGGTAACTTCAGCAGGGCCTAAAAATATTCCCGTCCCGGTGCATGGAGAGATCATGAACTGTGCGACATGGAGCCAGTGTGTGCTATTCAATTGTTGGCAATTATTTCTAGAATTAAAATGTTTAACCCATTAACCCATAATAAACTGGGGGGAGAGCTTTGGAGATGCAACTCTTTATTGAGTAGGAGAAATGTGCAGATTCCTGGCATAATTTATCTCAGCCACCTGCATTGGAGGAGCCATCTCACCTGCCTGAGAAATGAATTTGGGGCGCAGGGGCCTGGTGGGCCAGGAAGTCACTGATCAAAGCTTGGCTTCCAGGCTGTGGCTGTGTCCACCAGGCACTGTGCGGGCTGGACTTGGACTTCTACAGGTCAGTGGGTTTAAGGGTGGGATGGGAAGCGCTGTCTTTGGTGTTTTCCAGAGCGGGGCACTCGAGATGTTCAAAGTGCTTCCTGAGAGAGGGCCAAAGGGTGTTCCCTGGGAGAGCTGGGAATCCAAGAGACATGCACTCTGGGTGCAGGAAGAGGGCAGGTGAGGACCTGGCTCAGGGTCTGGTGGGAGAGGGAAGGAGGGAGCCAGTCAAGGGCAGGAGGAAACAGAGTTGCGAATCATTTGGTGGCCAGCAGTGATTCTGGGTGACTTCCATCCCAGTCTTAGGGATTCCTCTGGATAGGATCATAGGACTGACTCTGGCGAACGTACAAAAGTCCTTAGTCATGCGCATGTCCATCAGCACAGCTTTTCATGGTATACGCATCATCTCACTGACAGGTGCTACCCGATCACACGAACAACCCTCTGGAACCCGTGACCATGTGTTCACAACAGCAGCCATTACAGAGCTCTTGTCATGAGCCTCTGTCTGCTCCATCTCATCGATCCTCCCAGCAACCCACAAGGAAGGAGAAGTTTCTTTACAGATGAGGAAACTGGGGTGTTGGGCTAAAGTTGTTGATTTGCCAGAGTCCCACAGCACTAGGTGAGTTGGGACAAGAACTCAGTGGCCTGCTGGGTAGTGAGGACTGTGCAGAATGGTCTGGGTTTGGGGACCCCTGTGGGGCACATGTGTGAGGCTTGCTGCCGTGATGTTCTCGCTGGCCCTTCTGGATCTCTCTTGGGGTCCCTGGGAGTCCTCGCCCAAACCTAGGACCCATCCATGCAAGAGGACAAATCGCTTTATCAACACCATTGAGATGATTGAAAATCCTCCTGCTCATAGGACCCTGGAGTTGCTGTGTTTCTGTGTTGGGGTTGTTGAGTCTCTCTTGAAAATAATATTGGCTAATGGGTTTATTGCCATTTTATTGATCACCAAGGGGATGGTCTCAATGGTTAACTTACATCTTGAGATTTCTAGACATGTTTGCCAGCCCTGGTGTCCTCAGGAAGGCCCTCAGCAGGGAGAAAGGCTACTGGGTGTGTAAATGGCCACCCCTTCCTCCCCTGCTACCTGCCCCTCAAGACGTGGGAGGCTGGAGAGGAGCAATTAATTTGATTTTTTTTTTTTCTCTTTGGAGAGAAGAGTGTTCTGTGCCATGTACCAGGAAGCAGGGAAGGACAGGTATGCTGACTACAGCTCATCCGCAATTCCCATGCTTTCGCTCACTTGATCTCACAGCAGCCCTGCTGGCCGGTGTTCCTATCCTTCCCATTTTATACAAGGAGAAACTGAGTCCTTCAAGATGGGGCACCAGCCAAGGGCACTCTGGTCAGTACGGAGAGCCAGGATTGGGAGTCTGGGGGAGCTGACCTCCAGGACAGGGAGTGGTTCTTGGTCCCTCCAACCGACACTGGGACCTTGCTCTCCTCACTGTGTTTTTGTGGCCTGCTTCTACCTGCTCCAATCCAGCTCATAAAACCACTTCTAAGAGGTTTAACAAGAGTGACTTCATTTTATTTTTCTCCCTTACTCATTCCTTTTTAAAAATTATAAAGCAATACTTGCTTACGAAACGTTTAAGGAGTTTTCTTCCCTAATCATCTCTCAGAAGTAACCACGATTAATAACTTGGTGTATAGTGTTCTTCTATGCAAATAGGAATCTTTAAAGATATGTAGAGATATCTATACACACGTGACTTTTTATTGATGAGCACATATAAGCATATATGTCACAGCAACGTTTGTAAAGGTCAAAGACTGGAAATACATGTCCCTCAAAAGGGATTCAGTAGAATAGATTATGATGCAGACATTTAATAGAATTATTGTTTGGTCATTAAAAAAATGAGGCAGCTCTCTGTACAGATGTGAGAACTCCCTCCTTACAACACATTGTTGAATAAAACATTGTATGCACATTGTCAACTCACTTAATTTTCCATCACAGCTTCACATAGAGGCAGATGCCACACAAGCCACCCACCCAGATGCAGAGCCAGATTCCCTGCATGGACTGGACGAGAGTTTCCCAGCTGGAGTTCTCTGGGCCCAGTTGCCTGTGACATGGGGTTGGGGGTGCTCCAGAAAGTCATGGCCACCCCTGGAGGAAGTGACTTGTGGCTGACTGCTCAAGGGGAAGTCCTGTGGCGGTGGAGTCGTCAGCATTCATTCAAATAAGGTAAGTGCTTCGGCAGGGATGAGGGAGGGGCTGAAAGGCTGGGGGTGACTGCGATGACCTCAAGCTTGAACTGAAACCTCTGGAAGGGCATTGTATTCGAACTGTTTAGATGATTGCACGGAATCATCTCATTTTTACATCAGCAGAAGCCTAGGCTCAGAGAGGTGAAGTGATTTTGTCTGAGGTCACACAGCACGGTAGTGATTGGGCTGGGTCTGAGGGCCTCTCTGGGGGTGCATCTGAGGTCTCTGTGCCTCAGGGGAGCGGGAGGAGTGGAGACTGGGGCTGTGGCCAGGCTCTTCCTAGCCTTCCTAGGTGTCTATCTGCTCTTCAGTGTCATCTCCACTTTCCTTTCCCTCTGTTTCTTCCTCCTCTGCCTACAACACTCTTAGTTTGTTCTAAATGCCCCCTTGTCAGAGCTGAGGAACTTGAGGTGACATGCTGAAGACCCTGGCTGAGGATCCTGGTTTGACGCATTTTTCTTGGAACCCTTGGATGTTCCTGGGGTGTAAGTGTGTGTAGGGTGTGAGTGTGTTGTATGTGTGCCCATGTGTGCTTTGTGTGTGTGGTTTGGTTCTGTGGTATGTGAATGTGTGTGCATGCACATGTGTGGTGTGAGTGTATGGCGTGTGTGCACAATGAGTATGTATGGTGTGTGTGCATGCATGTGTAGTGTGCACGTATGTGTGTGAATGTGCGGTATGTGTATCTGTGCACATGTGCAGGGTGTAGCTGGTGTGTGCTCACTTGTTTGTGATGTGTGCATATGTGCACATGTGTTCATGCATGTGTGTACTTGTGTGGTGTATGCCTGTGTGTGCCCATGCATGCATGTGTGTGTATACGTGTGTGCAAGAGGAAACAGATGGTGACTTTGCCACAGTAGTGTTTAGCTGACCCCAGTGCAGGAGCTGCCCTTACCGTCTGTGTCCCCCTCTTCGGCAGCCCCAGCGGGAGTTCTGCCTCATGCCACACGTGGGTTCAGTCCTGCGGAGCCTGGACTCTGGGTTAAGAGAGGTAAGCGCTCAGAAATAGTAAACCACTGTTTTCTTGCCGGCTGTTTGCCCTTATTAATTCAGGTAGCAATTACCCATTCTGAATATTTGGCAACTAATTAGTTTTCCCGTGGAGATGGCAGAATGAGGAATGCTCTGCTTTGACCTGATCCACTTTCTCAGTTCCCGGGGATGGGGGTGGGGGGCTGGAGGAGGGAGGGTGTGGAGCGCGGAAGTGAGAGCTACAGAGAAGTCTGCTCAAAGCCCGAGATACCCTTTAGCTGCCGGGGTCTTGGCTACAAATCTTCAGGAGGATAAAAATAACCCACCCAATGTTGGTTTTGTTGGGGCTTTCATGTCACGGGCCCATTTCCTCTGTGGGTGCAGCTCCTGGCAGTGTGCCGGGTAACGGAGGAGGTGCTGTCAGGGCAGACTCAGGGCTGCTTTCCAACCAAAGCGCCTCCTTTTTGGGAACCCTGATTTGGACTCGGGATCCATAGGAGACTGGAACCTGGACCACAGGGACCCGACGCTCAGGGCGAGGGCACTCCTCAGACCCCAAGAGACTGGGGCCTGTGGAACACACAATCCGGGGGACAGGTTGGAAGAGACACTCAGATGACCGTCTGGCCAAGCTCAGCTGGGAGTTGAATCAGAGATCGTTTCTTACCAGCCACTAAGTCCCTTGGCCAACATCTGGCCTATATTTGCCTTTTTAGCTCCTGAGCTTTCTGTTACTGGGAAGAGTTGTCAGTGACATGATCTGGTTCCCAGAGGCACCTCTGAGAAAGGGTGCTTACAGATAGGAGGGTGCATGGATCAAGGCCAGCTCCATCCAGCAGCCTCCTGCATTGGAACAGCCCTTGGGCGGGAATCTATTTTGGGGTGGTAGAAGGATGAGTCAATCCATCGCACTGCTTGCTATATACCTTTTCTGGTGGCGGTGAGGGGGCTCAGACTACTGTGGGGAGTGGATGCAGTTCAGGGTGCCACAGACCAGTCCGCTGGTGGTGGAAGCTGCCTCCAGACGCCTCCCCGCACACTGTGTCCGCAGGGACGCAGCCTGTGAGTCACAGGCCTTCCTTCTGCCCCGCATGGTCATGCACTTGTGTCTGTGAAAGGTGCTCTTTGCCTGATGGGGGCTGGGAGGCCTCCAGGCCGATGTCCCTACCCGTAGCCTTGTCTTAGCTGTGGGCAAGACCAGCTGCCCGCTTTCCTCCTTGGACACAGGTCCTCTTCAGAACCTGGGGTGGGCATCAGCATTCTCAGACTGGCACCGGCTGGCTGCATGCCCCTTCCCGCTTCTGTGTCCCTGACACTCAGCACGCGCCTGTCCGTCTGCACACGGCTGGAGCCAGCTCCAGTCAGCCGCACACAGTTTACCCAGCTCACCTGCTTATTATAATTCAAGGCCAGGGACCCTGCGTCCTGTGTGTCTGGGGTTTCCCCAGGGCCTAGCGTTTGCTCTGGCTGCCGGCCCTGGCCGGTGGCTGATGCCGGGTCACATGTTCAGGCTGGTTTCCCTAAACTGCGGCAGCTGCAGTTCCTGTACAGATAGGCTCAGCGAAAGTGCCAGGGCCTTGGGTTCAGACCTGGCTGAGTCCCGGTTCTGCCAGTTGTGTGTGACTTTGGGCAAATTCTTTCAGCTCCAGGAGCCTCGCTTTCCTGGTGATTGCTGTATTTTTGGGGTAGACTACACGCATATTTGTCATTAGAACCACATGCTCCGGTCCCCAGCGATGCGAAGGGGCTTCAGGGAAGAGAGTGTGCGGAGGTGACCTTTGCAGTTTGCAGCTGGACGAGTGGCCTTGGGCCTCCTTACTCCCTCACGTGTCTGTGGGGTGAGCAGGCGTCAGTCCTTCCTCCCTGGAGCTGAAATAGTTCTGCTTCGGCCGGGAATGACCGGCTTAGAGCTGAGGTCGGGGTGACACCCAGGTGTTTTCCAGGTCACCCAAGGGACAGGGTTGAAACAAGCGCCATCACAGAATTCCCAGGCTGGGACGTGAAGTGGCTTTGAGGCGCAGACCAGCTGTCTTGCGACCTAGGCCTCCGCTTGCTTCCTCCAGGCCACACCTGACCTCGGCCTAGGAGTGAGCTCAAAGCTGCACACACAATCCCTTCAGCTGGCTTCGGAAATGCAAAAACACCAGGTGCAGGGCTGTCGGTTAGAGTTTCCATTTACATTACCTGGGGCTTTTCTGTCCAGCTCACCCTTCCCCCACCACCTTGCACAGGCCTTCACCCCCACAAGCCCGGGGGGTGGGGGGGGGGCGGTTCTTCCCAGACAGGTCACCTGTGGAATGTGAGCACCAGGCAGGCCTGGCCTCCCACTGCAGGCAGGACACACAGCTTCTGCCGGGGACCTGGCTCTGGCTGGGGAATTTTGACCTGCAAAAGGCAGACAGCCATGTGACGACTGTGGAGGCCGGGATCCTTGGTCCAAACCCCTCATTACCTGGGTGGCCCTGGGCAAGTCAAACCACCTCCGATTCCTCCATCGCACATGGGGATACGAGTACTTCCTTAGAGGCTAGTGGTGGGGGTTAAATAAGCAAAGGATAAGAGAGGGCTGGAACGGTGGTGCTTGATAGCGGTGGCTGATATAATCATCACCCCAGCGTTCAGTGCGGGCTCTGCCTCTGGCTTCGCGGAGTTGGCACAAGTATCACCTCATTGAAATGGCACAACACACTCATGATGTAGACATTATTCTTCCTGTTCGGTAGACTACACGCATATTTGTCATTAGAACCACATGCTCCGGTCCCCAGCGATGCGAAGGGGCTTCAGGGAAGAGAGTGTGCGGAGGTGACCTTTGCAGTTTGCAGCTGGACGAGTGGCCTTGGGCCTCCTTACTCCCTCACGTGTCTGTGGGGTGAGCAGGCGTCAGTCCTTCCTCCCTGGAGCTGAAATAGTTCTGCTTCGGCCGGGAATGACCGGCTTAGAGCTGAGGTCGGGGTGACACCCAGGTGTTTTCCAGGTCACCCAAGGGACAGGGTTGAAACAAGCGCCATCACAGAATTCCCAGGCTGGGACGTGAAGTGGCTTTGAGGCGCAGACCAGCTGTCTTGCGACCTAGGCCTCCGCTTGCTTCCTCCAGGCCACACCTGACCTCGGCCTAGGAGTGAGCTCAAAGCTGCACACACAATCCCTTCAGCTGGCTTCGGAAATGCAAAAACACCAGGTGCAGGGCTGTCGGTTAGAGTTTCCATTTACATTACCTGGGGCTTTTCTGTCCAGCTCACCCTTCCCCCACCACCTTGCACAGGCCTTCACCCCCACAAGCCCGGGGGGGGGGGGGGGGGGCGGTTCTTCCCAGACAGGTCACCTGTGGAATGTGAGCACCAGGCAGGCCTGGCCTCCCACTGCAGGCAGGACACACAGCTTCTGCCGGGGACCTGGCTCTGGCTGGGGAATTTTGACCTGCAAAAGGCAGACAGCCATGTGACGACTGTGGAGGCCGGGATCCTTGGTCCAAACCCCTCATTACCTGGGTGGCCCTGGGCAAGTCAAACCACCTCCGATTCCTCCATCGCACATGGGGATACGAGTACTTCCTTAGAGGCTAGTGGTGGGGGTTAAATAAGCAAAGGATAAGAGAGGGCTGGAACGGTGGTGCTTGATAGCGGTGGCTGATATAATCATCACCCCAGCGTTCAGTGCAGGCTCTGCCTCTGGCTTCGCGGAGTTGGCACAAGTATCACCTCATTGAAATGGCACAACACACTCATGATGTAGACATTATTCTTCCTGTTCTTTCCATTTTGCCAGTGAGGAAACTGAGGCGCAGAGAAGTGAAATAACATGCCCAACCCGACGTTGGACTCTGGGCATGCTGACTTCCAGCACTGTGCTGATGGACTCTGGGCAGGCTGACTTCTAGCACTGTGCTGATGGACTCTGGGCGGGCTGACTTCCAGCACTGTGCTGAAGCTGTTCCTCTCCCTCTGCTCCCTCAGCGGCCCTGGACGCCCCTGTGGGTCCCAGGCAGCTGGCATGACCCGCACACAGAGCCTCGCTGTGGTTAGCATCGAGCCCTGGGGAGGCCAGCTCCAGACCCTGCTGCTCCGTTTGCAGGTGGGCTGGGGCGGGGGAGGTTGGGGGGAGGGTGTGGGCTCCCAAGCCAGATACACCTGGCTGTGCTTCCCAGCTGTGACATTTACAACTGAGGATTTTGATTTTTGTCACTAGTAAGGGTACGGTCAAGAGAAGCTACTGTGCTTAGGCTGTTAGCTTCCCATCCTTGGACGTACCCAGGTTCCCCTGCTGTGAGCCTGATTTCCTTCTATGCTTTCTTCGTTCAACAAACCTTTCTGGGAAGCTTTTCCCTGTCAATCTCTGGACTAATGAGCAAGACTCAGTCCTCACTCGTCTGTTGGAGGGTGTGTGTGAGCGTATGTGTATGCACGTATTTTGTGTGCATATGTGTTGCATGTGTGTGATATGTAATTCCAAAGACACAGGAGTAAAATAAGAGCCATCCACAAAGGTCAGAGGAGGGAAGCAGCAAGGTGCTTCCCAGCAGTCCTTGAGTACAGACACTCAGGAAATGTTTGTGGAATGAACAGGAGGAAATCAAAGGAGGCGTCCTAGAGGAGGTGGCATTTAAGCTGAGGCTCACAGGGTGAGTCCTGTTTTGGTTACAGAGAGAGAGGCTGCTGTAGGAGCCAGGCTTAAAGACATGGAAATGTCGAGCCAGAGGCAGACAGCTCCCAAACTGCAGTCTAGCCAGGGGTCCAAGAGGCCTTGTTTTGTCACAGGCTGTGTGTTGGGGTTGGGGAGCAGCACAGAGTGGGTGAGTTCCTGGAGGAAAGTAATAAGGACCCATCTGTTTGTTCAACAAACATTTACTCGCTATGCACCCGGCCTAGTCTGCAGCTCAGTGAAGACCAGGATGAGGCTGTTGATGGAGCTGGCAGACTCGTGGAGGTGACTGACCCTGGAGCCACTTGGGGCCCCCACAGTGTCCCCGTGCTGGGGTGGGACTTCTGCAAGGCCCTGGGGGCCCTGAGCAGGGAGGGG